TCGTGATCCACCCACCTCGGCCCCCCAAAGTGCTGGGCATGTTGTTACTTCTAAGTGGGAGCTAAACATTGAGTACACATGGTCATAAAAACGGGAACAGCAGACACTGGGGAATACAAGAATGGAGAGGGACGGAAGTAAGGGCTGAAAAATACTACTTATCGGGGACTATGCTCACCACTGGGATGACTAATTCATTCGTACTCCAAACCTCAGCAGCCCACAATATACCTATGTAACAAACCTGCACATGTACCCCAATTCTAAAATAAAGGTTAAAAAAGAAAAAAAAATTCAGCAACACTTGTTTCATCTTACAAGGGCATTGTAAAATAATAAAGATAAAAGTTAAGAGATAGGGAAAGAAAAAAAAGGGAAAAAGAAAAGAACCCTCATTGGAGTCCTGTTCTGCCCAACCCTGGAGTTACTAAGTAAGCCCAACTTAAGGGGTCGCTTGACCTCCAGACTTTAAAGCCCCCAAGGCAGCAGCATCTACACCACCTTATCAGATCCTCAAAGCAATTCTTCTAAGTTGGTAGACTGGGATAGTTATTTCCATTCTGCAAATGGGGAAACTGAGACTCAGAAAGTACACTGACTTGCCCAAGGGCCCACCAGAAGTGGTGGCCCTGGAGGGATGAGAGGGAACATGTTCCCCAGCTCTCTAGAGTCTCAGGCCGCTGTTCCTTCTGCTGCAACTCCCCAAGTAACAGGAACAGGTACAACAATGGGCCTTTACAATCAAGGGCCAAACACGCAACCCTGTTCAAGCTTGCGCCCCAACTCCTTCAATTCCTCGTCAGCTTTTATTCCTTCAAAGCTGGTATTCATCTTTCTAAAGTAATTTTCATCCTTCTGGCTCTTTTCTGAAGGCAGCACAATTTAGAAAGAGTAGGGCTTGAGATCTGTCACTCACGAGCTCAAATGGCTTCACCTCTCTGGGCCTCATCTGCAAAATGGAGATAAACTTATGTAACTCCCAGAATCATTCTGAGGATCAAAGCAGTCATGTGTGAATGCATTTTGTAAAATACAGAGCACTGGGGAATACTGATTTTACTTCAACAAAATAAAACTCTAGCCCTCTTTCTGGGAGGTCAGGATACTAGTAGTAGGGGTAACTTAAAGGGTGAGTATACTGAACGGGAATCTGAAGTTGAAACACACACAAGTATTGGCAGTATCAGTTGGGAAGGTCACACACAGATTTCAGATAATGGGCCAGTCCAGCTAAGCTTGTACCTTACCTGAGTCAGATTTCTTTAAAATCTATTACTGGGCTTTGGAACTGTGCCGTCACCAGGGAGGGAAGCCACATGCTAAACACCTTAAAGCAGGGGCAACAGAGAAACAGAAAAACCAACGTATTGGCCAGGCACGGTGGCTCACACCTGTAATCCCAACACTTTGGGAGGCCAAGGAGGGTGGATTACTTGAGGTCAGGAGTTTGATATCAGCCTGGCCAACATGGTGAAACCCTGTCTCTACAAAAAGTACAAAAAAGATTAGCTGGACAGGGTGGCGTGAGCCTGTAATCCCAGCTACTCGGGGGGCTGAGGCAGGAGACTTGCTTGAACCCAGGAGATGGAGGTTGTAGTGAGCCAAGATGGTGCCACTGCACTCCAGCCTGGGCAACACAGCAAGACTCCATCTCAAAAAAAAAAAAAAAAGAAAATTTCCAGCACTGAAATTATATTTCCACCCGCAGGAAAACACAGCAGGCAGGAAACAGGTGAATATGTCCACCCAGGGCTTATGGGACTGTTAGCTAATTTAAGAACATTGTAACAGGCAGCATAGCTGGAAGCACCTTGGGCATGGGACCTACCCCCACCATCCCAGGGACATGTAGTAAAACCTGCCTTGTAAATAAATAGCAACAAAGGTGAACTTTAAAAAAAGCTCGCCTGGCTGCCTGAAAGGGTGTGGTGAGGACAGCCCTAATATACACACTGCTGAGAGTAAACGGTTGAGAGCTTTCCTTTGAAGCAATTATCAGTGTGTTGCTGGAGACTTTAAACTGTTTATACCTTCTCACCCAGGAGTTCCAGGTGTAAAATTCTACTCTAAGAAAATAACCAGACAAGGATTTTTGGTTTAGAGTTTTTTATTACAACAAACACCCACACACACCCCTAATTGTCCAGAAACAGGTGAATGGTTAACTACAGAGTAAGTTATGAATATATTTAAATGATGGACTATTATACAGTCATTCAAATAATGTTTTGAGGAATATATTGTGACATAAAAATGCTCATAATAGTAAATTGAAGGAAAGCAGGATATAACCCGTATGCCCAGTGTATGGGGCTGTTCATGCACTGATATAAATAAATGCCTGAGTCTGTGTCTTTATAAAGAAAACAGGTTTAATTTGTTCTTGGTTCTGCAAGCTGTACAGGAAGTGGGGTGCTGGCATCTGCTTCTGGTGAGGCCAGAGGGAATTTACAGCCATGGTGGAAGGCAAAGGGGAGCCCGTGTGTCACATGGCAAGAGCAGGAACAAGAGAGGGGGGAGGTGCCGCACACCTTTAAACAACCAGATCTCCTGTTAGTTCACTCATCACCACGGGGATGGCGCCCAGCCAAGCATGAGGAATATGCCGCCATGATCCAGACGCCTCCCACCAAGCCCCACCTCCAACACTGGAGATTACAGTCCCACATGAGATTTGGAGGGGACAGACATCCAAGCCAGTTCACACAGTGTACCAGCAGTTAAAATGCACACACTTAAAATACTAATGATAACAGTAGCAGTGGCTAATGTTGTTGGATGCTGTATTAGTCTGTTCTGTGATGCTATAAAGGAATATCTGAAACTGGGTAATGTATACAGAAAAGAAGTTTGCTTGGACCACAGTTCTGCATGGCACCAGCATCTGCTTGGCTTCTAGTGAGGTTCTCAGGCTGCTTCCACTCATGGCGGGACGCGAAGCGTAGCTGGCCTGCGCAGATAACACAGCCAGAGAGGGAAGCAAGAGAGAGGAGGTGGGAGGTACCAGACTCTTTCTAACAACTGGGCCTGGGGTGAACCCATTACCATGGGAGGGCACCACACCATTCCTGAGGGATCCACCCCCAAGACCCAAACATCTCCCATCAGGCCCCACCTCCAACAATGCGGGTCACATTTTGACCTGAGATTTGGAGGGGACAAATATCTAAGCCATTATCAGATGCTGCGAGCCAGGCAGTGTTCTACCACACTGGTCATTCCATTCTCTCCTAGCCCTCTAAGGGAAGCCTATGATTACTATCATCATCCCCATTTTTCCGAGGAGTAAACTGGGCACAGAGGCTTGGGCAGTGTGCCCAAGGCCACACAGAGGGGTGGGTGTGTGAGGCAGGGCTTCTCAGAGTCAGTGTGGCTCCTAGGCACTCTGCAACACCATGACCAAATGCTGCCAGCGGACATCCTCAAGAGGGGGCCAAGTCGAGTGCTTCTGAGGCAAAGGCCAAGCGCCTCAACGGAGTATCCCAAAGACAAGATCGCCTCCAGCTCGCAACCAGAAAGACCTGGGCTCAAATCTGGCATAGATCCTTCTGACCTGTGTGAAAGCAGTAAGCCACGTTCCTCTCTGAGCCTCAGTTTCCTCATCTGTAAAATGGGGATAAATAATACTGTCTGCCTCCCAGGGCTAACCAGGGGATAAAAAAGATAAGGTGCCTGAGTCCTTATATTTTCTAAATTTTCTACAGAGGTATATTTTTCTTTTGTTAAAACTATTTTTTATTTAAAAAATAATATATTAACCCATTAAAATATTTCCAAAGTTTGGGGGGGTATTAAATAACCCAGAAGCCAGACGGATGGGAGGAGGTGAATTACATTCGATTTGATTCAATTAAATTGGAAGGCACTGGGGAAAGGCCAGGAGACCAGGCTTAGAGGGAAAGATAACCTGCTCAATTAGAAACACATCATGTTTCGCCAGGTGTCAGAGGGACATCCACGTAGGCGACTGACTAGGAGGACAGTGGACACAGAGGCGTGGTGTGGAGGAGACACACAGGCTGCAGATACGAATGCGGTATCAGCAGCAGGCAGACGTGACCTGGAGCTATGGAAGACATTGACTGTTTCTGCCTGCCCTTTCCCTCCACCCCTTTTATGGGTGACAGCAGCCCACTTTTCCCTTTGGAGAAGTACCCCACCCCTTTCCACACAGTCTTGGTGAGACAATCAAAGTGTCCTGCCACCCAAGCAGTGGGCACATCTGCCACGACAGGTGTAAAGCAGGATATTTCTTGAGATAAAACCAATGCACTTCTGTTGTGGCTAATTCCTAATTCCTAGTTAGCCTGCAGCTCCCTCCAGCCAGTCAGTCAATGGAAGCCGTTGCCTGGCTCTGTTTTAAATTAGATTTTCTTGAGTCCACAGCGTGAGACATTAGTGTTAAAATGTGGCTTCGTTGAGGCAGAAAAAGTTTTCTTAACTTCCAAAATCTTCCTTTTACAGAGCAAGAAGACAACTTGGAGATTAAATTATTACATATATGTACAAATGTCATCTACAGGGTAGATTCTTAGACTTGTAATTTTGGTAGATATTGCCCAAATCAACAGGGCTGTTAATTTCACAATCCCACTGGTAATGTACTAAAGGGCCTGCTATTTATTCTCCCGACTCCCCCACCTCCAGCCCCATCCACAGGGCATGCTGTCAAGCTTTGGGATTTCTGCCAATCTGACAGGTTAAAAATGGTATCTCCGCATACTTTCAATAAGCACTTCTCTTTGAAGATTGAGACTGAGCACCTTTTCATACGTTTAAGGGCTATTTGTATTTCTTTTGCTGTGAACCATCTGTTCATGTCCTGTGCTCACTTTCTCTATTCGGCTGCTGCTGCAGAAGTCCTTAACCAGTTGTTTGTGGCTTTCACAGAGGAAGGGAGGAAGGGCTGTCTTATGACTCAGATAAGGTTAAGAATTGTAGGGAAAAGAACAGCTCACCCTAACCTGACACCTATTTTGTGGTATGCATAGAGATGCTTATTTTAAGTTTTAAAAACTTTTAATTGAAGTTCAGTTATATGCACAAAAAAATGTACATATACTACATTACAGCACACATTCCTATAACCAACATCGGGATCAAGGAACAATATTACCAGCACCCCAGGGGCCCCTCTCAACACTCCCAATCCTTGCCATGTGGAGATTCTTCTGCAGCGTTATTTCTTGATTCTATTCTAAAGGCAAGTGATCCACAAATTCTGGGTCTTCCACAGTTTTGAAGCCACAGTGAAGGGCTTTACCATCGGTAAGGAAAGAGGCCCTGTGGTCCTAGGGCTCCCTCTGCTGGTGATCAGCAGTTACCTGGAGCTCTGAGGATTGACTGGAGTCTTGGAAATCAAATCGGTGCAGGCTTAATGGGAATCGGCACACTGGCACATGGCTGAGGTATCACAGAGTCCTCCTTCACTCTTCATCCTGTTAACATTTCGGGAAAGCAACTATCAAAACAATAGACCACAGTAGCTTGGGGGCTATGAAGAGAATGACAAGAAAGAGCGGCGCATGCCCGCTTCCCAAACCTTGCCTATTCCCCACCCACAAAAACAGGAGGCTGCTGCTCAAATCAACTGTCAAAGGCATCGACAGTCCCCAGTCATGTTTCTAGAAATCTAGAAGACAACTGGAATTATTTGCTAAGATGACTGACTGATGGACTCCCTGGTTCCTGTGCTAGGTACAGAGATACAAAATGCAGCTCCTATTCAGGTGGACTGCATGCGAAGTCCCATGGGACAATGGCGTCGGGCCATTTAACTCACACAGGGGAGCAGGGGTTGAGGGAGGGAAAGTCAACGTAATAGGTTCTTCTTGCCCTCCAGAAATTTAGAATCTAGCAGGAGATAAAAGAAATGTTTGGATAAAGGGCTGAAAATAAGTTCAGGAGGGACCTGAAGAAGCTCCAGGTGAAATGTTACTGTGGTCCTAGAAACAAGGAGGGGACCTGAGCTGACAAAGTCGACGGGCGGTAGACAGAGGAGCTGGAGGCTCTTCAGTTGTAGGGAGGGGCAAAAAACAGATACCCAGAGAAGCGAACAGGCCCACAGTGGACTCTCATGGTAGAAGAAAGTGGGGAGGATCACCACCACTGGGGCAGGTCCTTAGGGTTGTGGGTCCAGGAACTCCATTTTTGTCAGGGTACCCAGAGCCAAACAAATTCAGGGGGATGGACTGTCTGTTGACTGAAGATCTATAAGCCAGGTGCAGCATATTCATTTGCAGAAGGGACTATGTCCTTCCCACAAGTGGAATGCTTGTTTGCCTTCTAGGGCTCCCTTGTTTCTTTCCTCCGATTATTTCCCACCCTCTCCTTAAGGGTCCTGTCCTTTCCTGTGGCTTCAATGGCCACCTGTATGCAAACTCCACAGTCTTTATTTCCAGTCCCCACTTCCCATGTGAGCTTCAGAACCATATATCTTCCTGCCTGCTGGACACCTCCACGTGGCTGCCCCACGGATCTCTCAGGTTCACTGTGTCCAAACTGAGCTAATTTAGAGAAATATCAGCACAGAGAGGCAGTGACAACACAGACTCTACTAGGTTGCCTGGGTTCAAATTTTAGCTCCGCCACTTGTTAGCTGTGTGACCTCGGCGAGTTACTACTCTTTGCTTCGGTTTCCTCATCTGGAAGATGATGGTGATAATAGTAATCTCATAGGATTGTGGTGATAACTAAAATAAGTCTTCTGATAGGAAGAGCTATGAAAGTATCAGTTCTCATATGCTGGGCACAGTGGCTCAAGCCTGCAGTCCCACCACTGTGGGAGGCTGAGGCAGGCAGATCACTTGAGGCCAGGAGTCCAAGACCAGCCTGGCCAACATGGCAAAACCCTTTCTCCACCAAAAAAAAAAAAAAAAAAATTAGCCAGGCATGGTGGTACACGTGGGTGACTGAGGCAGGAGAATCATTTGAATTAGGGAAGTGGAGGTTGCAGTGAGCAAGACTGCACCACTGCACTCCAGCCTGGGCAACAGAGCAAGACTCTGTCTCAAAAAAAAAAAAAAGAAAGAAAGAAAAGAAAGAAAGAATAAAAGAAAGTATTAGCGTTACTATGATTCTCCATTTAAATGTCCTTCCTCTGCTCACTGTCAGCTGGGTTCAACAGAGTTTAATTGAGACGGGCACCAATATCCATTCAGTTGCTCAAGCTGGAAAGCAAAGTATCATTGTCAGCTTTCTCTCACTGCCCATCCTGTTCGTAGTTAATCTCTCCCTGAGGCCTGATCTACACAACTTTTCAATTGGCTCACTTGTTCTCCATACTTAGGGCCACCTGCCCCTTCGATCACCATCATCGCAGACCTGGATCACCATGCCAGCTCACGCTGAAACCAGCCATCTTTCTAAAATAAATCCGGTCATTTCTTTCCATAGGTCCTACAGTTCTTAGAAGGAGAAACCTCAGGATAAATCCCTTGCCGCAGCCTTTGGGACCTGATTCCTGCTTTCATCTGCACTTGAAACTTTTATGTTCAAAACCAAACCCTCCCACTCCCCAAACCTAGTCTTCTTCTTGGATTCCCTTCTTTAGTGAAGGGGGCCGCCTACTGGCTTGGCTCAAGCTAGACATCTCTGCTCAACAGGCCGCCGAGCCCTGCTGGTCTCACCATCCTTCAGCCATGGTTCCCATTCTGGTCTTCCCTCAGATTATTTCGAGTGTCTTCTAACTGGTCTCTCTTACATTCCCCACCCTCCCCATCTACTTTCTAAGAGTCTACTAGAATGATATAAATTGCTACTAAAAATAAAAAAATTAGCAGAGCATGGTGGTGCTCACCTGTAATCTCAGCTACTTAGGAGGCTGAGGCACGAGAATCAGTTGAACCTGGGTGGCAGAGGTTACAGTGAGCCAAGATTGTGCCATTTCACTCCAGCCTGGGTGACAGAGCGAGACTTAAAAAAAAAAAAAAAAAAGTTTCAATAGTTTCTGGCACACAACACTCAATGCCTTCCTTTAACAAGTAATTACTGAGCGCCAACTATGTGCTGCATAGAGTTCAGGCCCTGGGGATACATGGTATTTTCATCAATTCCAAGACACCATCATTTTAAAGACTCACCACTTACTGTAGGTACAAGAAAGAAAAAAAAAATACTACGAACTAAACCAGAACACATTGGTGATTATAAGACACATCCAGATGTTCTAACTGCTATTAATAAATTGTGGGAAAATGTGCATCTTTGATTCAACAGAAATAGTGACTAAAAAAAAAAAGACACAAAGTCCCTGTCCTCAGGTAGCTTCTATTCTAGTGACGGGACCAAAGAATAACTATACATTGTCAGGTAGCGATAAGTGCTACGATAAAGCAGGGTAAAGGGATACAGAGTGAAGTGGTTGCTGGAGAAGCCAAAGACGACCCCTCCCCCGGGGAGCTGATATGAGCAGAGACTTTGAATGACGAGATGAACTGTGGGTAAACAATGCTCCAGGAGGGGAAACATCACATACAAAAGATCTGAGATCTGACAGGGAAATATGCCTGCTGGGTTCAAACATATGCAAAGAAAGTGTGGCTGGAACAGTCCTAGGCCCTGGGCAGCCAATTTCCTCAAGCCCAGTGGTATTTTCCAGGTGAAAGCAGGTATCCCTGGTCTAGCTGGGTACATACAGGAGGTAAAGGTGGGGAGGCTAAGAAAAGCAGCGTTAACTCAGAGATCAGCAGGGTGGATAGCCAGACTGCCTAGATTGGAATCCCCGTTCTGCCACTTACAAGCTATGTAACCTTGGACAAGTTATCTAACTATTCTGAGCCTAGTTTCCTCAGCTATAAAACAGACATCATAAAAGTACATTTCACAAATTGGTTATGAAGATTACATGAGCTAACAACTTGTAATCAAGACAAACAATCATTATCACTACCTTCTATGCCAAAGTCATTTTCATTTTCATTTTAATTAACTGAATTAATTAATTAATTTATTTTTTGAGACAGGGTCTTGCTCTGTAGCCCAGGCTGGAGTGCCACGGCATGATCTCGGCTCACTGCAACCTCTACCTCCTGGGTTCAAGTGCTTCTCATGCCTCAGCCTCCAGAGTAGCCAGGATTACAGGCATGCGCTACCACTCCCAGCTAATTTTTGTATTTTTATTTATTTATTTTTTTAGGAGAGATGGGGTTTCACCATGTTAGCCAGGCTGGTCTCGAACTCTTGACTTCAGGTGATCCACCCGCCTCAGCCTCCCAAAGTGCTGAGATTACAGGTGTGAGCCACCACGCCTGGCCTACCCCAAGTCATTAAGAAAAGTATATTGAGGTAAGAAATAAATTAATTTGAGTCTTAAAACATAAGAACAGAATATTTTCCAGATTACCAACTGGTAGGATGGCAGTCACACTGTTAGGGAAATAATTTTCTTTATTACTTTGAACTTGGCTTCTCCAAAGTTATTTTTTAAGAGAAACTATTATCTTCCTATATAAATTGTTCTTGCAGTACAAATTCATGGAATTAAGTCTCTCCTACTAAAGTATGTACAAGACACTTGTAACAAGAAGGAAGCACTGTTAGAGAAATTTTACATCTACCACAGCTTTTTAATTAAATGGCATTACCATGTGCATTAATACAAAGTTGATTTCTTGAATATAAAGTCCACACACAAATTCAGGCTTTTTTCCCATGGTTAAAAAGACCCAGAATTGCTGGTATAGGACACTGATCTGGCTTTTTGTTCACTCAGATCCACCCCATTTTGTTGCTTTTCTATCTCATTCCAAGTCATGATGTACCACACCGTGAGCCAGTCCTATCTATAATGACTTAAAACTTCAGGCCACGTCAGGTGTGTGAGTTAACAGGCTTCCGTATTCACAAGAGGTTCTCATCTTCCAAGTACTCCCTGAGTAATGAGTCACATTCTTGGAAAGCATCTAACACGTTATGATGGAGATGTGCTTACACAAAATAAAATATTGTAACTTTTTAGTTTTTAGTATTTAATATAATTAGGGATGGAAAGCAGGTAAAATGAGAGTTCACCAAAACTGCATTTAGCACCTACTAACCCCCAGGAACTGTGCCAAGCTCTGGGAACTCAATCAGGATTCAGACAATTCTTTCCCCTTAAGGATATATGAGATTTTTTTTTTTTTTTTTTTGACAGTTTTGCTTTGTTGGCCCAGGCTGGAGTGCAGTGGCGCAATCTCCGGCTCACCGCAACCTCTGCCTCCCGGCTTCAAGAGATTCTCCTGCTTCAGCCTCCCGAGTAGCTGGGATTGCAGGTGCATGCGCCACCACGCCCAGCTAACTTTTTGTATTTTCAGTAGAGACGGGGTTTCGCCATGTTGGCCAGGCTGGTCTCAAACTCCTGACCTCAAGTGATCCACTCGCCTCGGCCTCCCAAAGTGCTGGGATTACAGGTGTGAGCCACAGTGCCCGGCCTTCTCATGGATGTATGAGATTTTATCTGAAGTTATATTTTGAAGTGGCAGCTTAAAAAGATGTATTTGGTCTTGATACATTTCACTTGGCAAGGCCTGAGAAACTAAAATGCATCATGTTTCCCGCTTTTTCTTTTCCAAGAGATGTTGAGAAGGGCAGTTTAAATCCTGACTTACCAGCACTGTGAGACAAAGGACAGAGGCAGCTAGAACAAGTTATCTAATCTCTAATACGATCTAATGCTATCTAATTAGCATCGTTAGGTTACAATGAACAGTTTTCTTTCATCCTGTCAGTTACTGAACCTCTGGTATGAACGTTGAGAATTTAAAATGTTTTACCCAGGGCCAACTTCATGCTTCACGTTTAACGTTATACAATAAATTGTTAGATTTCATTTACAGACATAGGCCAGGCATTCCAAAGACTGGCTGCAGTTAAGCTGGACACAGTTAAATCATCTTCTGCAGCCTATCTAGTCAGTTGACTACAACTAAGGTATTGGGGAATGAGGGTGGATGGGGCCAGTTTTGGTTCAGGGAAAAACCCTCACTCTAGGGGTTGGCCACAATCAACGCCAGCCAACTCTACTGAGCAAAATCATCTGTTCTCATGAAGCTTTGAGAAGTGCAGACGTGGAGCTGGAGACTGGCAGGCGAGGAGAGGCACAGCTAGATTAGCAGAACCAGTCCTGGTGATGAAGCGGGTGGCAGCTGTTGCACAGATCACCTTTTCCCGCCTGCCATCTGAGCAACATTAAGAATCAGAAAAATGTAAAGAACCCTAAAATTCATCTCCTTTGGTGAACTGCCTAAATCTTTTTGCAAAATTTGGTGTGCAGGTGCATTTCTTTGGCAAGAGGGTCTACAGTTCTTACCAGATTCTCAAAGGAGTCTACGCCTGAAAACACGAGATTCACCGATAAGGTTCAACTTCCTCACTTACTAGATGGAAAACTGAGAGGCCCAGAGGAGGAAAAGCAGTTGCCTCAAAACAAACACAGCGATATCAAAACCGAGGCATTTCAATTCAATTCTAATTCCGGCTTCACACTATTGACCCTGGCCACGTCCAATACCTCTTCGCTTCTCTGCAGGTCCTGAAAGATCACCAGGAGGCGAGGGTTGGTGTCCGAGTCCTGGAGAGGTCGCAGGCAGTCCAGATTCTAGCATCACAAAAACTCTGGCCAAGCGCTCAGCAGGGGATTGGCTGCCATAAAGACCCCCGCACGTCCTCGCCCCCTCCCCGTGGAATTCTGCTGCATAGGTGACTCCAGGTAGAGGACCAAGCACAAGGAGATGCCGGGGCGGTGGAGGCAGAGGACGACTGCGAAGAATGACACCTATTCACTCACCTGACAGAGAGGAAGAAGCAGGCACGCCCCAAAAGCTGGTCGGGAGCAAATCCACGCCACTGGGAGGAGGCAGACCGAAGAATAACAGGAAATTACGTAAGGCGCACGTGCTTCCGAGGGGGGCGGGTGCGGGGCGTTCGAGAGGCGCGGCCCCCGCCCTGCGCCTGCGCAGCCGTCCCCTGCCGCGCTGCCGAGTCACCGGGGTGGGAGGCGCATGAGTAGGGGGCGGGGTGTATGCCGGAGTGCGCAGGCGCAATGCGACTCCCGAGGCGCGGGCCGCCCCCTTGGCTGGTTTGGATCCGGGTCAGTTGGGCGCCGAGATTCGGGAGAGACGCTGTGAACTGACTGCACCGCATCACCGGAGCGCCCCAGCTGCGAGGCGGTAAGTGCCCTGACGTGACGGGGAGGGGCCGCAGCATAGCGTCTCGGCCTGCACAGACGGTCTGGCCGCGGGCGGTTTTCCCCGGGCCCGCCCGCCTTGGGTCGCGTCGTCTCCCGACGCCTCCTGCCTGGGCCGGGCCTGGGCCTCTCCGCGCCCCCTTATCCGCCGCGGCCTGTGCCTGCTGGAGCTCCGAACTCCGCGCTCTCTCCCCTTCCCGCCTTCCTGTTCTCCCGCGGACCCCGCCCCGTCCCGCTCCTCCGCCGTCTCCCGCCCAGCGACAGCTTCCCCTTTTCGTCCTCCTTGGCCGCCCTTTGCCCCTTCCCGCCCTTTCCCTCTCGCCTCGGAGCCCCATTCTCGTTGGCTACCTCTTCGGCCCCACTCCTTTCTTCTTCCGCATCCCTGGTGCCTCGCTCCAACTCCAGCCTCTCGTTCTGACCGCGGGAATTTCCCGAGGAGCGCAAGTTTCCAGCTGGAGACCCCGGGCGGGCAGAGCCCCTGGACAGCTCCCCCCTCGGCGTTGTCCTCACACTCCAAGCCACCTCCTACCCCTCTGGGTTCTGACCAGGAATTTTCTCCGTTTGTGTTTAACCGCGACAGGTACAGACTCTGGGTGAAAAGAAAGAACTTCGTGCTTTGGCTGCAGCACTGCGAGTGTAAAGGGATGAGTGGGTTGCACGGAGAGGTGTGAATGTGTTTTTTGTCCTGGGGGCCGGTTGTTTCCTCCCGGTCTAGTTTGCCTCTTCGAGTTGCTGGACAGGGTTTTCTTCCCCATACTCCACGCTTCCTGGTGGTCTGGGAGTTTCGAAATCTTTAACGTGGTGATAACAACGCTTACCCGCGCCATCCCTTCTTGATCGTTCTTAGGTCTTCTCGGGCGTGGAAATGTAGACCTAGACTTGAGGTTCAATGAGGTCTTGGTTAAAACGGCAAGATAGAAGTAAGATTGTGACGCATCCATTTCGTTGAAAGGGAAAACCAGGAATTCGTCCTTTTGATGGAGGAACTTAGAATAACTGTAATTTTTGTAAGGTTGTGGAAAATCCGAGGCAAAGTTAAATTGCCCGGTTTGATTAGACTTAACATGAAGTAACTTCGAATAGGCTTTTTAAAGTTTCATCTCTTTGGATGTTGTTCAAGAGTTCACTGCAGTTAAAACGCCAAGACTGTCTCCCACAAATTTGATATTAATGAAGAAGGGCAAGCCAATTGTATCTGTTGTCCGGAGTTAGTTGTACAGCCCTTTCTTTGAGTGAATGGGGATCTGGGGATGCAGAGGAGCTTAATGAACCTTTTATAATTACAGAGATGCTCTTCTCTGGCTCTTAAGGTCATGCCTAACGCTCACGTTTGCTTTTGGCTAAAATAACTGAGAAAAAAGATGAGTAGTTAAAAATGCTGGAAGTCTGAAAATCGTTTAGACAGAACTTCATTCCTGAAGTTTTAATCTGTAGTCAGATTTTAATTCTGGCCTGTTTTGGTTTTTAGATGATAGATCTTTTAGTGTGTCAACAGGAATGTAAAGTTTGTATTAACATCTAGGGTGATCACCTGCCATGCTATTAAGTCAGCATAGTATAATTAAAAGTTACATATGTGGGTTCAGAGCCTCTTAGCACAGTGTTATATTGTAAGCTCTTGGAGGGCAGGAATGAGATTCTTCCAGTCCTTACAGAAATGGAGTTTAGGCTTCTATCCCTAGCATGCATTCTAGTGCCATGCACGTGGTAGGTATTCTGTAAATATTTGTGAACGAAATGAATTTCTGCCTGTAGGGTTCAGTAGTGTATACTTAAATGTGACATGTACATAAATGCTGACTAATTTCCAGAGAGGGCAAAAGAGGACTTGTGTGGGGTCTGCGGGTTGGGGAGACTGGCTCAGATGATTTATTAACTCGGTAAGGGCTGAACATTGACTAACGGATCATAAGGTAATTGAGGAACACTGTAAGTCAAACTTCAATTTAGTTCTACCAGCAGGAAGAATTTGTTTACAACCTACAGTAGTACTCTTTTAGATGATGTGAAACTTTGAAAATATTGAAATAAGTGATTGCTCACCTCTCCCCCCAGGTATATAGGAATTGATTGTGTATTTGGGGGGATCCTACCCTAAATTGAGAATTAGAGACTAGTGAAGCATGGGATTGTGTGGATAATGTTTCTTCATGTTTATGTACTTAAATACCAGCAAAATATACGTGGAGAATGTATTTAAATTTTTTTTTTTTTGTCCTAAGAAGTTGAAGTGCAGGCTGGCTGAAATTTTTTTTTAAAGTAGCTGAATTCTTTTGAGACTGTTTTCAGTGTTCCCCAGAGAGCTCTGCCTAAAATATCTTAACTTCTGCAAATAAATAAATAAATAAAGTGAAAAGTCCTGATTCCTTGCCTTTTTATTTTGCGCTGGTACTACAATAATATAATGGTTACATTATATGAAACATGATGACACCTTGACCTTTGGAATATTAGAGGTCTCACAATAACTTCAGAGCCACCCTGAGAGAAACGAGCAGATATGAATCAGAGAGGACCCAAGGCCTGGTGGAGAGGCACTGCTCACTCTCAGAATGCCTAAGTGGGGTGGGGGCGGGCGGGGGTGGGTAACAGCTTAGAAATAAAGAGGTGAAGTGAATCTTTTGCTTCAGATATCCTCTATTTCTATTTTTTTCTGTACTTTTTTCTTTCTTTCTTTCTGATTGTCTCTGATATGTTCATAGATGCTGGTTTGCTTAATTTTTATTCAGGATTTGGTACTAATAACCCTGAGTGAAAAAATAATTTGGAGACTAGATTCAAGGGTTTTTTAACAGACTTCTTTGTTGTGTTTCTTGTTGCTTTGGTTGGTTCTTCATCTCCCTTTCTCTGTTTAAAATATAAAAATCAGGTGGAAAATATGGAGGACTTTGGTTAATCAAACTAGTTAAGAGATCATTTAATGGTGCGTCTACACAATAGTCATTTCTATTTTTTTTCTTTACTTTCAACCTTTAGGCTAAAGAAAAGTTTTTTTGTTTTTTTTTTTCTTTTTCCACTCATGTGCACAATAATTTTTTGTGGGGTTGCAAGTATATAGTTCATTTATTTTCTTTCTTGTTTAACAATTAATTATACTATTCCAGGCTATGAATAAAAACACAAATGGAAGTATCAGCCTTACTGGTAGAGTGTATTTATAATTCTGCTTTCACAGTGGTAACGCCTTGTTCTGTAAAACATATCTTCCTGAACATAGCTGTCTGGGTCAGGATTGCTCTAGAGAAATGCTATCATGTGTCATGAAAGTTATACTTAACTAGGGTTAGGCCAGACAAATACTCAGTGTCATTTTAAAGAATCAGAGTGCTATAATTTGAGCTATTCCCTTTTATTTCTGATGTCATTTTGTTCATAGATTTCTAGACCAACTGGGGAGATTCCCATGTTAAAAAGTCTGTTTACTGAAACAGATTTCAGATCATCTAGTTTCCAAAATTGTGTAATAGGATATTGGCATCAGGTATGTGAACAGTTTATATTCTGTCATAGTACATATCCATTTTTGGTATCATTTCATTTGTTTCCCCTTAAGAAAACCTATAGTCTCCAGTTATCTACACTGAAACTTCCTTTTTGAAATAAAAATTTGCTTTTTTTTTCCTAACAGTAAAGGTAACAGGAATGTAAAATCTTAAAAAAAGGTATACTTTTGATCCCGTCTGTTTTTACTTTGCTCACTTTATTTTCTTTTTTAGTGTTAACAGGAACATCGATAAGTAGTGTAAAAACTTGCACAATGAAATCCGAAGCCAAGGATGGAGAGGAGGAGAGTCTACAGACTGCTTTCAAGAAATTAAGAGTGGATGCATCAGGGTAATTAAATATGTAATACATTATTTGGAATTATTTGTTTACTCATTCAAAATAGTCTCTTCTCCCTAAAAAGTTCTTCCTCTTTTAAAATTTCTCATTATTGAAAGAAGATATAAATGCTAATAGTGCAACACAACATCCTTCCAGATTCTGCACAGTTTTGTTTTAGTTTTAAAAAAAAACCCTTTGGTTAAATTTGAAAAGTAGCAGTTCATTTGCCCTCCTAGGTTGGGTGTTTTGGTTTTCGTTCACTTTGAGGAGGGCTTCCCCCCACCTCTTAATAAAAATTATCAAGTGGTGTCCCATCAGGGATTTTATCGTACATCTCAAGAGAATCACAATATTTTTCACTGAAAGTGGATTGGCTCAATAGAAATCTATGAAGACATTGTAGATTTCATGGTCTGTGATTGCTAAGTCTATCACCATGGAAACCTCTATTCAGTAGGGTTCTGTCACTGAGATCAATAACCTTGGACCCTTTGGCCAAACTAATTAGTGTACCTGCATACCAGCTGCTGTCTGAATGTTAATGTTTCACCCTTTGCAAAATGTTCTGTGTAAGACTCTTCTCACCCCAATTCTTTCTCCCAGGCCAAAAGAAATCAACATTTTTAATGGATATAAGAATTTCTTTTCATGAATGGAAACTAAACACTGGAAGCTCAGAGTAGAACACCCACAAGTAATAATAATCATCATTAGTGTTTATTATTTACTTCCTGTGCCCTAAACACCGGGTTAAGTACTTTGGGCACATTATTTAATCCTCACTACCACCTTAGTGCATGGATACTACTGTCATTTCAGTTTACAGATGAGACTCACACAAATTAAATTACTTACTAAAAGTCACATTGGTAAAAGTTGCAGAGCCAGGATCTGAACCTAGACAGCCTGTCTCCAGAACCTCTGCTCTTAACCATCCTTTATGTGGTACCTTGAAGACAATATGAAGAAATGCATGCAGTACCTAGCACAGAGTAAAAACTAGATGTTTGTTGTTGTTATAGCCACCTGCCTGTTGCTAGTACTATTTTTGGCCTATCAAATTAAAAGGTTTATGCTGATAGATTTGCACAGTAGATATTATAGGTGCTCATATTTGCTTCCATGATACTTCTAAAATGTATCTTTCGTCTTGATGGTTTTCTAATGTGGTCGTCTTGCCAGTTCATATCAGTACTTTGATAAATCGTCTTGGGAAACAGAAGCAAAGCAGAGAAGCAGATAGTTCCAGATTGTGGTTGCAGTGTATCCTTTGTGATTTCTTATATAGGAATAATTTTTTTAAATCAGGAAAATACTAGAAATGTGTACACACAATTATACATACAAATAAATCTCTTAGTGTGTAAATTTATATAAGTAACTCTTGATACACAGACTTCTTTCCTGATGTTTTAAAAGAAGTTGAAATGTAAAATAAAGCCAGGCTGGGCATGATGGCTCATGCCTAGTTCCGGCACTTTGGGAGGCCGAGGTGAGCACATCACTTGAGCTCAGGAGTTTGACACCAGCCTCGGCAACGTGGCGAAACCGTCTCTGCAAAAAAACCAAAAAATTGGCGTGGTGGTACATGCCTGTAGTCCCAGCTGCTCTGTAGGCTGAGGTGGAAGGATCACTTGAGCCCAGGAGGTGGAGGTTGGAGTGAGCCGAGATCGTGCCACTGCACTCCAGCCTGCACAACAGAGCGAGACCCTGTCTCAAAAAAAAAAAAAAAAAGTAAAATTAAGCCATTTTGGTATCCCTAAAAATTACTTGGAACATTATTTAAAAATTTTTCAAAATATATGGTCAAAAATTATGTATATGTAAAACCAAATGCTGCATGTTCTCACTTAGAAGTGGGAGCTAAGCATTGAACACACATGGACATGGGAACAGCAGATACTGCTGACTACTGGAGTGGGGAGGCCAGGAGCAGAATGTGGGTGGAAAACCTACCTATAGAGTACTGTGCTCACTACCTGGGTCCAGTATGCCCATGAACAATCCTACGCATGTACCACCTGTATCTAAAATAAAAGCTGAAATGAAAAAAATTATATATTTGTAGCATATATTCTGCCTTGAGTAAAATTATAAGGGAAGGAGAACATTTGAGAAAACAAAGTAAGAGAAGGGATGAGTCATTAGCATGACTAAGCAGAATAAGACTTGTGTAGTGGTGTATCATACATTCTAGTTGTTTTATATTGTTGCCAGTTTACAAATGGGACATCTGAGGATTGACTCATAAACTAACCAAGCCTTGCCAGGAATTTAGCATGATCCCGTTCAACAGGTTTTGACTCCTTAATGGTATTTGTCTTATTAGGACAAATCTCTATATAGATATAAATCGATATATATAACAAAATAATATCCTATTTATCTGACTGTAATATAATACATGCTTATAATAGAAAAATTTACGAAAACAAAACAGGATAAAAACGGAAGTAAAAATCACAGTTTACCATAACCACTGTTAACACCTATATCACTGGTTCATGATAGCCTATACTTATTTTACCTAGTTGAGATCATAATAATATGTATAGGTATTTAACCATGCTGCTTTCTCCTTACAAGCATTCCCCTATATCATTAAAAGTTCTTTGTACACCTAATTTCTAATAAATCCCCAACATTTTACTGTATAGGTGTGCCAAAATTTAGAAATACAGTATTTTTTTTTCTATTACATATTTAGGTTATTCCCAGTTTTTACTTTCAGTTATGTTTCATTGAACATCCTTTCATTTTAGTAGATTAATGTCTCTTTCTAAAGAATTTTGTCAGCACTATAGCATGTATAGTAGGAGGGGTGTGTGTGTGTGTATGTTTATGTGTGTTGAAAAAGTCTGGAAGGATTTCCACCAATGTTCGATGTTGGTAGTCTCTGGGTTGTGAGGTTATGGATGATTCTGTTCTTCTTGCTTTTAGATTTTTTCGTGTTCTTTACTGGGAACCCGTATTATCTGTATAATTTTAAACCACAAGGATTTAACTCTGATTAATATTTCAAGTTTATTAGTTGCAAAAGTTAGAATATTTTTCTAAAAGTTGCATAATATTTGAAAATGTATTCAGTGTTAAGTTAGATGGAGTCTCCTAAAGTTTTTGCTTCTAAACTTAGTTCCATGACTCTGGTTTGCCTGCGTAAGATAAATGGTCAGTGTCATTAGCATTCTCTGACCATAAGGCCTGATCTGCCCCAGGGAAACAGCCTGAAAGTCTATTTATATCCTGCTGCTGGGTACACTTACCAATCATTCTTCGGCTTATGATTTTGTAGCCATGGGCTTTTAGGGATCCTCTAAATTTGGTTTTGAAGGAAAATGTACACTAAAAGCTGAGCAATTTTTGAGAAACCCAAACTGGAAAAAAAAATGTATGATAAAAATTGTATTTGAGTTAGTGAGAACAATATGTTCTCCTCATTTTATAGTGTTGTGTAGCCATAAACTTTGTTCTTGTCTTCAGGTCCATAGCATCTCTGTCTGTTGGAGAAGGCACAGGTGTCAGAGCACCAGTCAGAACAGCAACAGATGATACCAAACCTAAAACCACATGTGCATCTAAAGACAGTTGGCACGGGTAAGAGCTTCTTATTGAAATGATTTTCATTCCAATATTATAAAATATTATTGGATTTTCCTTCCTGAGTGTCCAGAAAAGAGTAGGTTATGATATAGAACCTAAGACCCAATGATTAGAGAAGGACCTATTCCTTCTTTTGCTGAATTTGCTGAGACTTTCTTTTTGGCCTTGTCCGTATTCAATTTTTACAAATATTCTATGTCTGTTTGAGAATATTGGGACTTCTCTCATTATTCTTGGATTCTATGTCCATTAAATCAGGCTTTTAAATGTGTTATTTGAACCTTTTTTTCAATTTTTTAGTTAACTTGACTTACAAATAATAAAGATGTATGTTGAAATCTACCCCATGGAAGTGAATCTGTCTATTTTCCCTTTAAATTCTTTGTTTTTGCTTTATGTATCTTGAGGTTATTTAGTTGGATTTATATAGCATAGGTTTTGAATGTTTTCCTCCTGGTGAATTGAAACTTTTATTATGTAGTGACATTCTTAATCCCTCATAATGGCTTTTGTCTTAAAGTTTTCTTCTAGTGAGTGTTTCCCTTGTGTGTCTTTTTATTTTATTTTTATTTTTATTTTTATTTTTTGAGACAGAGTCTTGTTCTTGCTCTGTCACACAGACTGGAGTGCAGTGTCACAATCTCAGCTCACTGCACCCTTCGCCTCCCCGGTTTGAGCAATTCTGCTGCCTTGGCCTCCCAGGTAGCTGGGGTTACAGGTGCCTGCCACCATGCCCAGTTAGTTTTTGTATTTTTAGTAGAGACAGAGTTTCATCACATTGGCCAGGCTAGTCTCAAACTCGTGACCTCAGGTGATCTGCCCACCTCAGCCCCCCAAAGTGCTGGGATTATAGGTGTGAGCCACACCTAGCCTTCTATTCTTTCAAGCATTCTGTGTTCTTGTATTTTAGCTGTGTTTCATATAAATATCGTATGACTAGGTTTTATTTTTTTCTGTTTTATTCAATGTGATCAGTTTTTTTTTAACTGCTGGATTTAGTGTATTTACGTTTATTTGATTATTGATATCTCCAGAAGTGATTCTGCCATTTTACTTTATTTGTCCTGCTTTTTTGTTTTTCTTTCCTTTTTTTCCCCCACCTTACTTCTCCTGGTTTCCTTTCCAATTGTTTCAAAACAATTGTTTGCAAGGATTTTGTTTGTTCTTTTCCTCTGGTGGTTTGGAAATGGCACACTTTGTTTCTATTCTTTCAGTAGTTGTTAGCCTTGATTTTGCCATGCGTGCTTTTAACAAAGACACAAATTAATGGTATTTTAGGTCTTCTCCTCAGAACCCCTTTCCTCCAATCTCCTGACTTCCATGATGTAGTTGCCCAGTATTTTAGTTGTGTTACTTATTTTTAATCTCACAAACTAGGTTTTATTATTGTTAAGCAGACAGTGTTTATTTAGATTTTTCTACTTGTTTATAACTTCTTTTCTCACCATACTTTCACCTCAGACCTCCCATATACAATCACTTACTTTTTTCCTAAAGTAGTTTTTTCAGTGAAGGGTTATTGCTAGTAAATAGGACCTCTGCATTGTATAATTCCATATAAATACATTTGAAAGGGCCCCTGATGTTAACATCATGTCCTATTGGTAAATAACAATCATCTGTATCCGTGGGGGATTGATTCCAGGTCCTCCCCACTCACACACCCCTCTCAATACCAAAATCTGAGGATGCTTATGTCTCTTAGACAGAATGGTGTACTATTTGCTTACAACCTGTGCTCATTTTTCTGTATACTTTAAACCATCTCTAGAGTACTTATAATACCTACCACAGTGCTTACACAGCACTTCACTCACGCAGACTCAGCATAGTGCTCAGAGCACAGCAAATTCAATGTTTGCTTTTTGGAACTTGGTGGAAGGGATGTTTTCAGTCTGCTGCTAGTTGAATCCACAGGTGTAGAATCCATGGATACAGAAGACCGACTGTACTTTGCTTTCATTTATCTGAAAATGTCTTTATTTCATCCTTGTTTTTGAAAGATAGAGTTGATATACTTGACATATTTCTAGATTGACAGTTATTTTCTCTTAGCACTTAAATGAGGTATAGTTGATTGTCTTCTGGTTTCATTGCATTGATATTGAAAAGCATACCTTCAATCCAATTGTTACTGATTTGGAAATAATCTTTCTAGTCTCTGGCTGCTTTTAAGATCTTCCTGTTGTCTTTGCTATTCTATAGTTTTGCTACAGAGTGTCTCTATGTGGATTTCTTTTTATCCTGCTCTGGTGTATTTCCTGTGTTCATAGATTCTCTTATCAAATCAGAAAATTTCTCAGTCATTATGTCTATGAAAATCACTTGTCCTCTGTATTCATTTCTTCAGAAATTCAGACTTACTCTGTCATCCCTCTTGACTTTTACATTTTTCCAAATCCTTGTCTCTGTACTGCCTTTTAGGTCCGGGGTTGGCAAACTTTTTTTTGTAAAGCACCATATGGTAAATTTTTTAGGCATTGGAGGCCAAGAAGCAAAATTCCAAGGATATTAATAAGTGCTTAAATAAGAGAGAAAACTCCTACTCTACCCTGTTTGCCTGGGGTTGGCCGTCCTGGCTGGTGGACACATTTTGTCTTCAGTTGCTGAGACAGTCGCAGGATAGAGTGACTAGCCTGAAAGGAGAACCTTGTGGAATGGGTGGGTAGCAGGTAGTGCCAGGGTCATTTCTACTCTCTGTTCCGGTGAGGCTCAGATCCCAGCATGCTCTTTTCTCCTCCAGAGATCCCAGCACTGGTTGGAGTCTTGAACTGAGATTCTCCCTCTCAATGATCAGCAGTTGCCAACAGTAGAGACCCAACATGTAGATGTTAGCCAGTGTGGGCGCTGGACAGTGGTGCAATGTGTCCACTGGCCAGGAAGGTGGGTAGGGAGAATAGGGACAGGGGAGGATCCTCTAGCCTGGTCTGTGGCTCACAGTGCTAGCCCACTGGAGCAATCAATGTCCACAAGCTGTACAAAAACAGGCAGGAAGCCAGATTTGACCCACAGGCTGTAGTTTGCTGGACCCTGTTACAAATAATTCAGATTTATTTTCCAGTCAGGTAATTCTTTCTTTAGCTGTGTGTACAAGTCTCCCGTTATCCATAGGGGATATGTTCCAGGAACCCCAGTGGACACCTGAAACTGCAGACAATATCAAACCCATTTGCCATCAGTCAGAACACGTTTTTGTTCATGTCTTCCACCCACACATTTAATGCCTTTTCTATCTTAACTAAGGACTTACATGCACTGTGGCTGTAACTTTTGCATTTGAAGTGCAACAGTAAGTCTATCACAAATTTTTTTTCCTTCCTCACCATTTTTCAGACAGGAGATTCGGTTTTACCGTACATCTTAGCAACCTCAGTATGTGTTTTGTTTTTTTCCTTTCCTTATTAAGTCAAGAACTTTCACCTTTTCTCTTAAAGAAGGCTGTCTTAGTTCATTTTCTATTGCTGTAACTGAATACCTGAGACTGGGTAATTTTTAAAGAGACTTATTTCTTATATTTCTGGAAGCTGGGAAGTGTAAGAGCATGGCACCAGCATCTGGTGAGTGTATCATTGCTGCATCATAACATGGGGAAGGATATCATGTGGCAAGGGGGCTCGTGAGAAGTAGCCAAACCGGCTTTTATAACAGAGCCATTCTTCTGATAACTGTCCCTCTCCCTCACTAACCTTTTAATTCATTAATCTGTGGATGGATTAATCCATTCTTGAAGGCAGAGCCCTTGTGACCCAATCACCCCCAAAGGTCTCAGCACTGATGCGTTCAGGACCAAGTTTACAACACATGAACTTGTGGGTGACACATTCTAACCACAGCAGAAGCACTTCGTGGCTTTCGTTGGTATACCCAAACTGCTAGCATCACTACTATTGCACTTGGGGCCATTGTTAAGTAAAATAAGAGTTACTTGAACACAAGCACTGCAGTACCATGATAGTGGATCTAATAACCAAGATAGCTACTAAATGACTAATGGGTAGGTAGCATATACAGTGTGGATACCCTGGACAAAGGGATGATTCACATCCCAGGTGGGATGGAGCAGGATGGTGCAAGATTTCGTCATGCCACTCACAGTGGGGCGCAATGTAAAACTTACGAATTGTTTATTTCTGGAATTTTTTATTTAATATTTTCAGACCATGGTTGACTGCAAGTAACTGAAACTGTAGAAAGTGAAACCATGGATAAGATGGGACTACTGTGTTCTGTTTAGCTCATTCATTTTAATTCCAAATAAAACATTTTTTTTTTTTAGTGCCCTGTTTGGTTCTTGTCTCTAATTCACTTAGCAGTTTTGAGTATCTTTTCTTTTCACTCAGTTCTTTATTTAAATGTTTTATAAATAGTTACCTTACATAGTGTGTCCAGTAATTCCCAGTATCTGAAAACCTCAGGGATTGTAAATATTGTTAGTTTTTTGGTTTTGATTGGCTGTTACCAATGATAGAAACGAATCAAAAATCTATTTAATAGTAATGGCATAATGGTCATTTGTAACGTTAGCCTCACAGTGGTTCTGACGCTGCTATATTCAGGTTTAGGGCACAATATTTAGACTTTACAGGATTGGTTTCAGTTGTCTGTTTGAGGTGCTTCCCTCAGACTCACTGGTCAAAGGCTCCCAAGGTGTTCTCTCCCAAGTGTTTGGCCCAAGTGATTCAGTTAAAAAATACCATTATCTCACCTGGTTGTATAGCTTGCTAATAAGATGATTTTGAAGGTTTTGAGACACAAAGACTTAGGCAGCATGGAAATGGAGGCAGGTGCATCTCTTGTGGGAAATTTATGAGCTTAGACTCGTAAATCTGACGGGAGGTAAATTTCCTATTATCATAAAGAATCTGTTTAGGACAGCTCTGTATCCCAGCATCTTCTTGTGTATATTTTTCCTCTTAGGTCTACAAGGAAGTCTTCACGAGGAGCAGTGAGAACTCAGCGTCGTCGACGTTCTAAGTCTCCTGTCCTTCATCCTCCAAAGTTTATACATTGCAGTACAATAGCATCTTCTTCCAACAGTCAACTGAAGCACAAAAGCCAGACTGACTCACCTGATGGCAGCAGTGGGCTGGGAATTTCAACCCCGAAAGATTTCAGTGCAGGAGAAAGCTCTACTTCTCTCGATGCTAATCACACAGGGGCAGTCGTTGAGCCTTTGAGAACTTCTGTTCCAAGGCTCCCATCAGAGAGTAAGAAGGAAGACTCCTCTGACGCTACCCAAGTCTCCCAAGCAAGTCTCAAAGCCAGTGATCTCTCTGACTTTCAATCCGTTTCCAAGCTAAACCAGGGCAAGCCATGCACATGCATAGGCAAGGAATGCCAGTGTAAGAGATGGCATGATATGGAAGTGTATTCCTTTTCAGGCCTGCAGAGTGTCCCTCCCTTGGCTCCAGAACGAAGATCCACACTTGAGGACTACTCGCAGTCGCTGCATGCCAGAACTCTGTCTGGCTCTCCCCGATCCTGTTCTGAGCAAGCTCGAGTCTTTGTGGATGATGTGACCATAGAGGACCTATCAGGCTACATGGAGTATTACTTGTATATTCCCAAGAAAATGTCCCACATGGCAGAAATGATGTACACCTGATAGCAAGAAGCGAATTCATATGCTTTAAACCAATGAAGGCTTGTCAAAGAGATTTAGTTAATGGCAGACCTTGTGGCCACTTTGTGTGAGAAGACATCTCTTTCTGCTCACTGTGCTTGCAATAAAAACTTTACTTGGCATCTCAGTTAATCTTCATTCTTTAAACTTACTCTCTGAGTTCTTCCATACACTTCAAGGCAAGCAGATCAAAGAAAAATTTAGAAATGTTCCTGGGGGATGAAGAAACTATAATTACTTGAGACTGGCAGCAGTGGGTAAAAGCCTTTGTAAAACAGTGCATTTTTCAGATTTGTTTAAGGTTTGGTAGCCAAGGAAAGTAAAATGTGATTTTGTAACTGCACTAAACATTTGTCATGCTGTAGTTGCCAGCCCAGAATATTAGAAGTTACAAGACTGATTTAAACCATCTCTGATTTAATGCAAGATCTATTGTGTCTATAAAGATTTCTCATGTTATTGTTAAGCCAGAGATCTAAGGTTTAGATTCAATGTGAATAAACTAGCTGGCCTGCCCTCTATTGTTTGAGAGAGTTATTAACCATCACTAAAGAAGCCCCTGCTGGTGCTATTCATCCTGAGACATGTTACATGCAGTTACTCAAGCAGCTTGGAATGGGCTGCTTCAGTTGGAGGGAGGAGGTGTAATATTTGAAACTAGTGTGTGTCTTCACCATCTCCAGCATTTTAAGTATATGGTGTGTTTTTTTGTTATTAGTTGTAATACAGGTCTCATACCTCAGTTTCAGATGTTCTAGATGGTTACCTCTTTGAGCTGCCCTGTCACCCCAGCAACGCCAAAAGAGAATTTTGTACATTCTGTATCCCACAGATTTGGTCAACCATTTCAAAATCCCCCCCAGTTTGGTAAAAAAAAATCTGTCTTCAGTTTCAGCTGGATGATGAATCCTTGTTTTTCACGTGGCTCCAAAAAGAATGTTGCATGTGTTCAGACCATCCTAAGCAGGGCCACCAAATTTAGTGACAGTGTCTAGTTATGTTAGCAATAATGTTAACAGAAGCTTTTGTTTAAATTACAAAATACATTTATACTATTTACTAAAATATCGCGCTGGCTGTCTGGTTGATTGATGATAATGGGATGTGGGCTTCAACAAATAGGTGATTTGTTCTTGGGGGAGAGGGGAAGGGTGTTTACTAGAAAAACCCTAAGCTTAAGTAGTGGGAGTCCTCTACTGGTCATTGGTTTAGTGTGGATTTAGTGACATCTGAAGGCTTTGGTTAAAGGGAGGGAGCAAAATACCTTATCACAGCTCTAGAAGCTGTGACATATTTCCTAATAATGGTGACAGAAGGTGCACTAGTTAGTATATCTGAGGCAGAAATTCTCAAACTTTTTGTAAGCACCTCCTTTACACTGACAAATTCAGGACCCAAAACGTTTTGTTACAGTCTCCAAAAGGATGTATGTTAATGTTTACCATATTAGAAATTTAAGATAATTTAAAAATATTTAATTCATTACAAGCTAACAATTTCTGAATGAAAAATAGCTTTTCCAAAACAAAAAATATTAGAAGAGTGGCATTGTTCTACCTTTTTGCAAATCTTTTTTAATGTTTGGCTTAATTAGAAGACAGATTCTCATATGTTTCTGCACTCAGTCTCTGGGATATCGCATATTGTGTGGTCTCTGGCAAACTTTTGTACACTTGTGAGTATGAATGTGAAAAAGGCAACTACAGGTTGAATATTGCTTACATGAAATACTTGGGACCAGAAGTGTTTCGGATCTCAGAATTTTTTTAGATTTTGAAAGATTTGCATTACATGCTTACCAGTTCAGCTTCCGTAATCCTAAAAGCCAAGCTGCTCCAATGAGCAGGTCCTTTGATCCTCATGTCAGTGCTCAAAAAGTTCTAGATTTTGAAGCATTTCAGATTAGGGAACCTCAACCTGTAATGTTTTAGTACTATGAAAATAATGTTGACCTCAGATTTCCTAACAGGGCATCAGGGACTCCCAGGGATTCCCAGACCCAAATTTAAGCTTCTGGTTGTAAAGGTACCACCCTGCTTTCACCTCCACAACTAATGTTTTGGCTCACCTTTAAAAACCAAAAACTGGGCTGGGCGCGGTGGCTCACACCTGTAATCCCAGCACTTTGGGAGGCCGAGGCGGGCCGATCACAAGGTCAGGAGATCGAGACCATCCTGGCTAACACAGTGAAACCTGTCTCTACTAAAAATGCAAAAAATTACCTGGGCGTGGTGGCGGGCGCCTGTAGTCCCAACTACTCAGGAGGTTGAGGCAGGAGAATGGTGTGAACCCAGGAGGCGGAGCTTGCAGTGAGCCGAGATCGCACCATTGCATTCCAGCCTGGGCGACAGAGCGAGACTCCGTCTCAAAAATAAAATAAAAACTGGAGAGGAGTGGAGCTATTGTAATTAAGTAGTGAGCTATTCAAGTTCATCTTAAGTGGGTTTAACATGTTCTTTGAATTAAGACGAGTTCTTAAGCCTTTAAATCCCTTTTAGTTTGCTTTCCAAGCCAGCGGTCTGGTTATTTGCTTAGTGCTGTATGTTAGTGCAGCAGTCACCAGAGAATGATGATACGTATATTTTTCATACGAAGGTGTTAGGGGTGTAAGGATTGAAAAGGGCAAAGTTCCAGTGACCTACTAACTCAAAATCCAACTTGGATAAAAGTTGAGTCATTCCCGATTTGTGGGAATAAGTTGTAAGTTATCTACATCTCAGCAAAATCTTCCTCAAAACATGAATCTTGAAGTTAAAAATTACTCTGCTCAGACCCAGTTGGGCCAACTTTAACGTTAATCAGGGTCCCTTTCTTTTGTGAATGCGACTTACCAAACTAACCTCCTTTCTCTCATACATCTAGGAAAATGGATTTGGTTTGTGGATTGAGGGATTAAGTCTCACTCTGATGTTCCAAAAAAGTAACATCTTGATTTCCACATGTCTTTATTGAACAAGTTTTCATTGAATGTTCATTCATTCATTCATTCATTCATTCATTCATTCAATGAGTATGAAGTGCTTACAACACATCAGGGACACTGTACTAGAGCCTGGCAGTCGAACAGTAAGCAGAATAATATCCTTGTCCTCAGTAGAGAAAGGTGATGAACATATAAGTTGTATGGAGAGAAGAAGAATTAGGAGATAGGAAGGGGTGGGCTAGGGATAGGGTTGCTATTTGGGGTGAGCAGAGAAGATGCTGTGATAAGGTGATATTTGAGCAGAGACCTGAAGGAAGTAAGAGAGTGAGCCATGGGGGCACCTGAGGGAGGGGCATTCTTGGCAGAAGGAACCACAAGGATGTCAATGCAGCTTGAGCAGGTGGGGTCAGAGAGAGATCGGTCAGACCAGATCATGGAGGGCCTGATAGGCCATTTTAAAGGTGTTGACTCTTACTGTGAGTGAGATAGAGAGCCATTTGGGGGAGCAGAGGAGAGAGACATCACCAGACTTAGCTTTTTTTTGGAGACAGAGTCTTGCTCTGTCACCCAGGCTGGAGTGCAGTGGCACGATCTCAGCTCACTGCAACCTCCACCTCCTGGGTTCAAGCAATTCTCGTGTCTCAGCCTCCCAGGTAGCTGGGATCACAGGTGTGCGCCACCATGTCTGGCTAATTTTTTTTGTATTTTTAGTAGAGATGGGGTTTTGCCATTTTGGCCAGTCTGGTCTTTAACTCCTGACCTCAGGCAATCCGCCCACCTTGCCCTCCGAAAGTACTGGGATTACAGGCATGAGCCACCATGCCCAGCTGAGACTTAACCTTTTGAAAGAGCACTGGCTACTGTGTGCAGACTAAGGGAAGGCAAAGAGGACAGTTAGGAGGCTACTGCAGTGAGTCAGGCCATAGGTTTGGTACTGGGTACTTGGCAGTGCAGGAGATAATATGTGTTCTGGAAGGTTTTTGTTTTGTTTTGTTTTGTTTTGTTTTAGACGGAGTCTCGCTCTGTTGCTCAGGCTGGAGTGCAGTGGCGCAATCTCAGCTTACTGCAATCTCTGCCTCCTGGTTCAAGCAATTCTCCTACCTCAGCCTCCCAAGTAATTGGGACTACAGGCGCATGCCACCACACCCGGCTAATTTTTGTATTTTTAGTAGAGATGGGGTTTCACCATGTTGGCCAGGCTGGTCTCGAACTCCTGACCTCATGATCCACCCGCCTCTGCCTCCCAGAGTGCTGGGATTACAGGTGTGAACCACTGTGCCCAGCCTGTTCTAGAATTATTTTAATCCAAATCCCTTCAGGGATTTGCTGATGGACTAGATTTAAGGTGTGAGAGAAAGACAGGAATGAAGGTTGACTCCAAAGGTTTTAATAAGTTTGTGGAGTCGGCTGGAGGGACAAATTTGCAAGTGGAGATTGAGAGTTTTGTTTGTTATTGTCAAATCTGAGATGCTCATGAGATGTTTAGAAATGTTGAGTAGGTGGCTGGATGTCTTGACAGAAGATCAGGGGAGTGGTGCAGCCTGGGGACGCAGACTTTGAAGTCATCGGTAGAAGGAGTTTATGTAAAGTCATGTGACTAGAGACCTCCTCAGAAATGAATGTAGATAAAGAAGCCAGAGAACGAAGGTCTGGCACATTCCCAAGGTACAGAACTCAGGGGGATGAGGAGGAACCAGTAAGGCAGGAGCAGAACCAAGAGAGAGAGATTCTAGAAGTCAATTGAAAAAGGATTTCAGAAGGGGTCATCAGCTGCTAGATGCTGGGAAGACCAGGAGCACTCACTATATGCAGGCACTGGGTAGACACAGATGAGCTGCAATACCTACTGTACAACAGGTGCTCAGGTTTTTTAATAAATAAGTTCTGGGGTACATGTTCAGGACATGCAGGTTTGTTACATAGGTAAGCATGTGCCGTGGTGGTTTGCTGCACCTATCAACCCATCACCTAGGTATTAAGCCTATTAAGCCCTGTATGCATTAGCTATTTATCCTGGTGCTCTCTCTCTCTTCCTGCTCCCCCACCCTACCCACAGGCCCCATTGTTCCTCTCTCTGTGTCCATGTGTTTCCATTGTTCAGCTCCCACTTAAAAGTGAGAACATGTTTGGTTTTCTGTTCCTGTTAGTTTGCTGAGAATAATGGCTTCCAGATCCATCCATGCCCCTGCAAAGGACATGATCACCTTCCTTTTTATGGCCGCATAGTATTCCATGGTGTATATGTACCACATTTTCTTTGTCCAGTCTATCATTGATAGACATTTGGGTTGATTCAGTGATCACTAGAGAAATGCAAAATCAAAACCAGAATGAGATACCACCTCACACCAGTCAGAATGGCAATTATTAAAAAGTCAACAAACTAGAAACAAAAGATGCTGGTAAGGCTCTGGAGAAATAAGGATGCTTTTATATTTTTGGTGGGAATGTAAGTGAGTTCAACCCTTGTGGAAGACATTGTGGCGATTCCTTAAAGACCTAGAACCAGAAATACCATTTGACCCAGCAGCCTCATTACTGATTTATATTCCCAAAGGAATATAAATCATTCTATTATAAAGATACATGCACACCTATGTTCACTGCAGCACTATTCACTATTTTTTGGAAAGAAGAAAATCCTTGCTTTAACAACTCATAGTTTGGGGGAGGAGCCAGCATGTGGGAAGGGCACTAGTCCAGCCAGGAAACCTGCCTGGAAAAGCTTCCAAGGGTGATGAGGCTCGCTCTGCTGAACCTTCCACGGCTGAGAACTCCAATGGATTTCTGAGCACAGTCCTTCTCTTTGTTCTGGATTTTCAGTTCTCTCCCTTTGAGGCTCCCAGAGAAGCAGTCAAGCTTGAGAAGTTGAGCAGGAAATAGAGGGAGAAAGTGACCAGGGAACAGAACAAGGGAGTGGGAAGAGATCTGGGATGAAGAGAGGGAATAGGCTAGCTGCCTTTAAAACCAGTTTATAATTATTTCAAGTTTATTTTATTTTTTATTTTTATTTATTTATTTTTGAGATGGAGTCTCACTCTGTTGCCCAGGCTGGAGTGCAGTGGCACCATCTTGGCTCACTGCAATCTCTGTCTCCGGGGTTCAAGTGATTCTCCTGCCTCAGTGCCCCCAGTAGCTGGGG